TATATATACAAACACACATGCACACTCTATTTAGCAGTGGGTTTATGTTGTAAGCAACAGAAAACAGTTCTACAATACAGCATTCAAACATAATTTAGTGTAGAGGACATAGAATTTAGGGAATTTTAAGAAAGAACTGAAGGCACCAATTTATTATTTTGATAAAAACTGTTGCTACTGAGTTTTTTTGTAATGAATGAAAAGGGTACTTGAACAACCTGTCAGCTCTTCTTGTGTTTCAGTGCAATGTCTGCCTGTAGCAGGGAAACAAAACCTAGCCTGTGGACTCAAAATTACCCACTGATCAAAGCCCATGCTGTGTCATACAACACAAAATTTCTTATGCCCTGGGAAAATTTGCATAATTGACAGAATTCAGATTGGCTCAATTACTTAATGTGTTTCAGCATCTGGCTTCATACTGGCAGTAGCTGACAGAATAAAGATGTATGTGTTCAAAATTAACTATGAGCTAATATTTCCTTTAGATTGAATTTTAACCCCTTCCCTCCCTCTTTCTGGAGCATTACCTCCATTAGCAAAGGAAATGTTCTTCTGATAATAAGCTAATGCCAACGCCCTGGCTGTTAAAATTATTGCAGTTTAATTTGAACTCACCAGTATTTTCCTTGGAGCACGGCATCAATTATAAACAATTCACTTATAAATAATCAATTAAAGGTACATTATACGTTACACTTCACTGTAGGAAAAAGTGGTACCAGTAGTTATGTGAAAATATAGATTACATTTTAAACTAGAATATAAACTGACAGAAAATGTGTTCGCTCTTTCTGCTAAGGCCATTATGGAATTAGGAGAAGCTATCTTATTTCCATACTGAAGAAGAAATGTTCTAATATTTTTCTTTTAACTTGGTAATTATTAGTACCTACTTTTTATAACAGCAATTCATTAAAACTGGAAAAATAGCAGCACAGTTCTAACTAGAAAAGTCAGAAAACCCCCACGCTTCCTTCAGCTTTGTAAGTACAACTTGAAAACACATGTAAAAAGCTTAATTAGCATAGTAATTGAACCACTGAAATAACAATAATATTTTAGTGATATGTGTCATAGCGTGTGTTGTGCACAAAATTATTAGCTTGACTTTGTTTACAATGTTTTGTGCAATTCACATGCTTTTTGTCCTTCACATTCACTCCTTATTGTAAAGCATGCAGTGAAGCACAAATTCATTATGTTTTTAGTATTCTGGTTTATTTTTGCTATGGTTTTGCCATGCATGGCAGTACCAACGCATAGTTGGCAATAGCAATGAATTTGAATTTTACGTGAAATACCAGTAAGGAATTATTTGGAAATTCATTTGCAATAGGCAGGTGTTATCTCCTAGATGACAGGAGCCGAAACAAATATTTAAATTCTCCTTTGTTCTCCAATCTGGCGACCCACAGAACTGCATGTAATGTGTCAGTTTATCTTGAAAAGTTGTCAATGGCCTGAGCTAAAGTTGCCTAAACAGCAGAATGAGGCACAACAGTGAACATCT